TCAAGGCAGGTTTCACCATGTTCCTGTGGTGATGTACACTGCCGTGGTGACTTCTGCAATGACCGTTGTGCTCTTCCCTCTGATGTACAAATTGGCCACCTGTCCCAGGGAGAGCGACTTGAAAGAAGTGAGTGAGAGTGAGGACCGGAAAGCTTTGTTGTCAAACTCTGGGCTTAATGAGGATGAAGAGGACGAGGAGGATGCGGGAGAGTGGAACGAAGCAGACTTTGAGGTAATAGAAATGAATGACACGCTGAGAAACTCTGTAATAGAGACCTCCCGTAAGATACCAGGAGACTCTCCAGCCGAAGTCTCTCTCCAGCCCCATCTGGATGATGTATTGCACGATTCTCCAGTGGTTGCTGGTGACTCCCCTGGGAGAAAAAATGTGAATGTTGACCGGGAGAAGAATGATTAAAGTAAAAGCTGACTGTCTTCTTTTTAAAGGGAAATGCAATTGAATGTAGCTGTTCTTGTAAAGTGGTTCAAGAATCCTTTCATAGTGGCGCAGAGCTCGACGTGTTCATTTCTATTTGTCTGGCCTTTTCTCCTCTTTCATTTTGAGTCTGCAGCCATGCATCTTGGGGTGGGAAGTCCACGATGATGAGCATGGGGTAATGTAATAAAATGTATAGACTACACCAAAAAGGTTAAACCATGAGACATTTTCTAAATATGAGGCATGCATTTCAGTAATAGGTGCTGTAGTAAGAACTAACTAGGAAAGAAGGGGACTGCTCAGACCACTTGCTTTTTTGGGGTGGGTGGAGGCTGCAGTTCTGAGGTGCTTAGTCATAAAATGTTTTCAGGGGAGAGAAGAATCTGTTATCTGTGATGCTGAACTTACTTTCTTATCTCATGAAAGAAGAATGTGTCTACTGCATTGAAAGTTTGTGTGTGATGTAAACCAGGAAATCAAATCAGATTTCGGGTGATGTCCGGTGGCTGTAAATCAGATAGTCTACTGGCAAACTATATAATTTCCCAGTTTTGTCACTAGGATGAGAAAAAAATTAAAAATTCATTTTTCAGAGTGGAAGCATGCCTCTGGGTCATTTAAAAGCGGTGTTATGGGAAGGGCATACAAAATGGGTCATATTAATCTGCTGTAAGGCTTAACTCTGATTTACTAGTTAAACAGTGGTGACAAATCAAAATAGTCTGAAGTACTTGTGATTGTACTTGCAATTTTAATTACTGCACTACCATTGAAATCAAGAAATGTATGAAGAAGACAAAATCATATATAAACAGATTACTTAATATACGATACTGATGTAGAGCTGTGATATTTTTAAGGTGGTTGTTTGAATTAAGGTTATAACAGCTTTTCTGGCATCCTGTGCCAAGACTTTAACATAGTGATGTGTTAAAATGAAAACTTGAGAATTAGCTAATTATTGATGAGACAATCCTTTCAGGTTGTTCTGTACAATCATGTGCCCCTTGCCAGTGGGATTGGAGCCATTTGGGTTTTTCTTTCTTTGGGTGATGACTTACAGGCAGATTCTCCCTAGAGGAGCAGCAGTGGTTTGTAGGTTCATTGCTGCTAAGCAGGAAAGGCTGGGAAGGACCAGTCATGCCAGTGAGCCCTCCCCAGGAAGAGCAAAAAAAAGCAGTAGCTGTGATGGCAATTTGTCTACTTGAAACTCCAATTTTATAGGTTATGTGATTTTTTTTTAAGGCTGTGTGATCAGATTATGCTCATCTTTGGGGTTTTTTTACTTTGCACTTTTATTAGTAATTTTTCTTGCAAAGAAGTTTAATTTACTAACAAAAGAGCTCTAGATGTAGCATAGCACAGAATTTTACATGTTCATTATATTTTCAGGTCTTTTTTGTTCCCTCGCAACCTAGAACCTCCTGGCTTTTTCCTTTCTTCTGAGAAGTTAGTAAGAAGCAGGAGTCAGCTTGTAGTGAAAAATGCATAATTTTTTTGCACCTTGCCATGTTGAAGGGCCCCCCCCTCCCTCTGCTGTCAGCATGTAAATGCCATTATGGTTTTGTCAGTTTCTTTTTTTTTTTTCTTGTGTGATGTGCACTGCTGTGGCATCTTTTCCAGTGCAATGCATGAACCTGCACTTTAAAATAGGGCCTTGTTTCACTTGCTATACAAGGGTTCTCTTCTTTGCTTAAAGTAATGGTAAAAGCTTTTAAATATCAGGCCAAATCCTGTTCCAGGTACATGCGACAGCATTTGTTCAACAGGAGTAAAAGTTCGGCTGGCTGTGTGTGTTTAGTTTCATGTGATAACAACTGAGGTGGTGACTTCAGTGAGGGCAGGTTAAGGCTGCATTTCTTCAACTTTCCTTTCCCACCTTTTTCCTCCTGCACTCCCCAGTAACTGCTTTGTGTGGGGAACACGATAACTGCTTCTGCTTTGCTTCTGTGGGAGGGCCTTGCCCCCTCCCTCCCAGCAGGCCACAGGTTTTCTTTGGCAGAAACTGGGTTTGTGCAGGACAAAGAACAAAGGATACGGAAATGGTTCTGCGGCAGCTCCCTGCTGTAACTGCAGTCCAGAGGCTGTACCTGAATGGACAGCGATATAAAAAAGTTTCCCCATACCTGAGATCATGTTGCCAGAAGAAAACTAGTTTAAGAACTGCACCTGGCAACTAGGAAGATTTTAATAATCCTCTGTTAATATGCTGATTTTTTGGAGTGAAATTCCAAATTGGAATGTCCTGCATGTAAGATTGTTCTCAGGGATAGTTTACATGTTTTGCATAACGAAGTACTAAAAAAACCAAAAAATGTAGTGGGAAGTATGCTGTAACCTCTTTGAACCTTAGCTACTGATTGCTTATACAGACACACTTGTTTTTGTTTGTGACTAACGTCTTCCCAACAAATGTAAAAATATTGTGCAAAGATTTATTTTTTACCAGCTGTATTAATTCCTGCTTGAGTCACTTGAATTCATCTCTCTTTTCCTCCTTAAAAGCAGGAGGTCGGTGTAGTAGGAATGGAGCAACAGCCTGGAATGCCAAGGCAAGGGTGCAAAAAGCAGTGGCAGGAAGAGAGTGGAACTCATACTTAACTTGAATGGTACCGTTGAGAACCACATCTGATTGATGCATGGAGGCCTTGGCTGGATGAGGTCTAAATTTTGAGTCATTTTAGCAAGTGCTTAGAGCCTTCCCTGTCTTAATTCTGGACTCAAACTTGAAATGGAGTATACCTGCAGAACTTCTTTTCCTTATCCCCTAAAAGCATGCTATTGAAATAGCAGGGGCTGTCTTTTCATGAAAATTAAATGTTTAAAGCAGTTTAACATTAAAACAGATCTGGGATATTTCCAACAATAAGTCCAGCTCACAGCAGTTCCAAACATCCTTGATGTTCAAGGCTGTAGCTTTCCTAGTTCTTGGCTTCTGGTGTTCCTCAAGGCTTGTTTTGAGACAACAAATGTTGGTTTTTACATGTTTAAATTTCCTTACAAAGTAAATTGCTTCCTGGCACATACAGTTAAAGTGAGGATCTATTTACAGTGCTTTTTAAGTTACAGATCCTTCAGAAAGCTTAAACACTTAAACTGACATGTTATGGGTTGAAATTACAAGTAAACTGTGTTACTTTACTATTGCCTTGCTTATGCTAGAAGAGTCATCTCTGTGTTGAGGCTGAGAACTGTGGTCCATGGATGAGGTTAGAAATCTGAATTTGTTAAGAATTCTATTTTGTCCATAAAGGCAGGACTGAGTTGAAGATGAGCACTTGCCCATTTACTCCAGTGTTAAAAGTAACCTCTTGCAGTTAAGCGTCATTTAGTATTTTTATTTATCCCTGAAGCACTGCCAAATGCTGGATCCTACCACAAGCTAACACATTAGTCATGGCATTTGCACTTCTGTACGTGACCACTGCTAGAATGCAGGAGTAGACAAAGGTTGTGCCTTGGTGGTTTTTTTTTGTTATTTTGCATAAAAGGGCATTTCAAGCTGTGTCTGTTCTATTATATATTGAATAGTTTTTATTCTGTGTGGTGTGGGTTTACATTGTACTGTATAATGTGAAAGTTAACAGACCGACTTCTATCTTGAATGTAATAAATTCTTAACTGAAGAAGGCACTCAGGTTCCTTGATGTAAATAAAGTTTTCTTCTATTTTTCAAAGCTACTCTGGACTTCCAAATTTAAAAGTTACTCATATTTTGACTAATGGAAATGTTTCTCTTCTGGTTTGGGGAAGGCCTCCAAGAATTGATACCAGGGCTTTAGATCCCAAAGCTTAAGCTGGAAACTGAATTGTGCATCATTCTTAACTCTTACTTGAGCAGTCTTGGTTACATTACTATTTGTGTGCAGATGAGGGAAACAAAGGTGTCTGCAATCGAGGGTAAATCTAAAAAAAGCATAGAATTTTTACCATATCATTTTATTCAACTTTAATATGGTTTCCATTATTAACTTCTAAAACAAAATGATTTCCAGTTTAGAAAACAATGCACTGACCACATAATTCCTTTTTGATTTTATACAGTTATACAAATATTCTAAATACACATTTTGTCAAGATGGTGGCAAATAAGATTTAACTGTACAGTACATAAGGAAAGAAAATATTTGAAGCATATTTAGAAGCAATAGAAATGTCTATACAAAACAAGCAAAAATGGAATAAAATTTTATATTTAAAGTATTGCAACAGTCCCACAGGTTTGTAACAAAAATGTCTTTGCACAGTTCCTCACAATGCCCCATTAATAGCTAAAGCAAGACAGCAATTTTTAGAAAATAATGTTTCAAAATGCTACACATGGTAACTACTGCTTGCACAGTCTGATCAAAATAACAATCTACTTGGAATCAAGCAAAACCTAGGAGGAGATATACCAACCAACTTTAAAATTATCTGTATAAAAGTCATTGCACATTATTTTACTCAGTTGTTTGAAAAGTAAAAAAGTGTATTTACAAAATATTTCGCAGACAAAATTATAAAGTGAATGGATAATATATAAGTAACACGTCTTGATACTGACAGTCCAAGAACACACACTAATGGTTTCATCGTTTCAAGAGGTTTTCAGTGCTCCTTCCTCCAGGAAGTAAACTTGACTTCTACTTTGAAATGGATTTACAAGATGTTACACATAGCTATTCCAACATCAGCATTATAAAACAGTATGTTAGAAACATGAAAGAAAGAAGAAATTTGTACATCTTAAAAAGTGAGCTATTCGTAGATCAACAAATGTTTTTCTGTTTTTTTAATTTAGTTAGGATAAGCGTTCATTATTCTTCAGATAATAAACCCAACAGTTAAAATGGAAATCCTGGACTAGATGAGAATCGAAAAAGCACCATGCACAATAGTCTTAGTGTGGTAAACATTGAAAAAAAAAAAATAGCACCTGGAATCCTGTAACACAGATCATTTAAAACTGGTCAAGTAGCTGGCGAAGATACGGTGCCTTTGACAGTTCTCTGCTTACTCTGGACAGCTTGAAGAGTACTGGACAGTTGAGGGAGACACACTGGATCTGTCGATCAAAGCAGCCTGTACAGTTCTTGCATATCTAGGTGACATATAAAAAAGCAAACATTATTTTAAACTTAACACAAGCAAGGCCTGAAGCACTTGGGACTACTAAGTCCTCAGCACTCTATCATCAGCAGAACAGGCACAGCCCCACCAGCACCACAAGCTCTTCCCCAACACAGAGGATCCAGAGCAAGCTCCTTTCTCTCCTCCAGCCTCTCCTGCTGCTGCCAGACTGCTCATGTGCTGCTGGTGCCCGGCTGGCGGGCATCGCCCACATGAACTGGGCAGAGATCAACAGCTTGACTGTACAGCTCGGGTTTCAGTCCTGGTAACTTCTGCGTGCTTGTGGTGGTGCTTGGAAAAATAAGGTAAATAAATTGAGTGGATTTAAGTGAGGCAGTGTGTCATATTCATGACAAACTCACCCTGTGTAAAAGTTCCCTCGTGAAAAAAGACAAAACTCTTATTTTTCAGTTATTCTCTACACAAGAAAGGAACTTAATACTACTCCTGTTTCAAGATAAGCTTCAACTAGAGTTTAACCTTCCACATCATAGTTAATCAATCCTAGGACAGAAACAAACAGGCAGACAGGCTCCACTGCTCTCCTTCATGGAACTACTTGTTAATGTGGTTAATGCTGCTTGAAAATACTTTTAACATGAGATCCCTGAATGGAATAAAACAGCAGCAGGCACGTTTTTTTCCAAAAGTAGTTACCTTTAGAAAACTAAAGTCTCCTGCTTTGCTCTTTTATTTTTAATCCTTTCCAGTATCTGCCACCCCCAACAGTTTTTCCAAAACCTCAGAAATTTGCTTCCAACTACACATGTTTTGTAACATCAAAAGGTTAAAAAAATCTTACAGAATCATAGAATCACTCAGGTTGGAAAAGACCTTTAAGACCATCAAGTCCAACTCCTAGCCTAACACTGCCAAGTCCACCACTAAACCATGTCCCCAAGCGCCACCTCTACACGTCTTTTAAATACCTCCAGGGATGGCGACTCCACCACTTCCCTGGGCAGCCCGTTCCAGTGCTTAACAGCTTTTCAGTAAGCCAAAAGCAGAAATTAAACACACTTGCTGGACTTATCTTGCTGTTTGCATAGTTTGAACAACAAGTCAAAATCATATCCTTTGCTTTAAAATTTGTTCTTTTCCTTCTTTCCATGTTAAAATTATCTGGGTACCAGTGACCCTCTCAACTATCAGCACTGAATCCCTGCAGACCAGAAACTCAAACTGACAATAGCTGGAGAGGAGCAGCTCCTCTCAGCCAAGTCCCACACAGCAGCACCTCAGAGGATACCAGTCCTCTGACCTGCCACTGTAACCAAAAAGAACAGGATTTAAATGGTTCATTCCAGGTTTGTAACCACTGGAAGAACCTGAGGAATAAGTCTACCCTACTTCTTTCAAAAGAGGCCGTGGCTGGTTTGAACACAAGGGACCAAACTACATGGTACTTGAGCCATTTTCTAAGTTCAGTTTGCGTAGAGTGGAGAAGCCTATGGCCTTAATCTATGGCGTGTAATTTTTAAGTGTGTTTTAAAATGTACAATTCAATGTCATATCCGTTTTCTGCTGGCTCTGACATGTTTATCATCTAGGAGGGCCAGAATTTCAGCTGTGAAGGCCACACACATCTTCATAACGAAGTAAGATAGATGCTCCTACAGAGAGGTTGAGCCATCAAACACAGACTAGAATGGGATCCCTGGCCTTGCTGACCTGCTGCGTGTTGCAGGGACAAGAGAATGTTCTGATCAAACCCACTGATCCTTTCGTGGGGCTGGACTGATCTGCAAGTTCTGATTCATCCCAGAACAAAGGCAATGTAAAAGGTTCAGAGCACCACAGGAAAACTGCAGAACACGCATCACCTTCTTTTACTGCCATTTACAATACAGATCAGAGCAAGTATTACAAAATAGAAAGAAACAAGTCCACACCTTAGCAATGCAATATTTATGAAGAGTGAATGAATTATAATGGTTTTCTAGCAACAAAGCCCCATGGGAACCTATCAAATCAATGCCTAGACTACAAGAACATTTATATCCCTGCAATTCAGACAAGTCTTTAAAATGATTCACATGCTAGTGCTAAAAATAAATTTTAACAAAAATATTTATTAATTATAAAATATGACAATATGAAAATTAGGTGAGGATATGCATATGTTTCTGCCTGGGGAGCCATTCTGCTTTGCTAAAATATATTTGTGAGCACAGTCAGCTACCCTCTTAATTGGCTTCTGGCTCAAGGGAAAAAAAACCAGCTTGGAAAATTCCTATCGAGAGGAAAGGTAAAAACTCCCACGCTAAAACACATACACATTATGCATCATAAATAAATAAATTTTCTGGGATAAACACTTTTGTTACTAGAACATCATCAGTTATTTTAGTACAAAAAAGGTGAATCTTTCAGACTTTTACAACTCTCCATCCCTGTCATAAAAAGGCAAACCATGTCAGACACTCTTGAAGAAAAGGAGAGAAGCATCTTCTGTTCTGATCCCCACCCCCCCGCCTTCAGTTTTATGCAGAGCTAAGGGGAGTAACAGCTGCTACGCTGCCTGCAACAGCAATGGGAAAAGCAAACAAGCTGTAACTCGTCTCACACCTGGACTGTACTTCCCATTTCTGTTGAGGGTATTCAGTAACATGCTGCTTTGAAATTTCAGCCTTTGTCTTTGTCTGACAGACATCTGGCAATGCTTTAATCATACCTTGACCAGCTGTTCTTGCTTACGCTCCAGCTCTCGGATTTCTTGGTTGAGAATCACTGCCACATGCTGTGGCTGGCTTCTGCATTTATTACAGATCCCATACTGGGTCAGTTCATCACACACAGGACAGTGTAAGGTTGTGAAATACTGTGAGATTGTGCCTTTGCGTCCTTCTAGCTCACTGTGGGCAGCCGAGGCAGCTTTTTGAATCTGTAAAAAAAAATGTAACAATGAACTTTTAAGAGAGCAGCTTGCCTTATTCCTAGATTACCCTATTTTTTTTTTCTAAAAGGAATATGAAAGGGCAATGCAGCCTGCAGGGCACGGGTTCACACAGAAATCATTAGCATGGATTGCACCACTCTGAGGAGCGCAGCACTTGCCCTGAAGTGATAACACTGAACTGAGTCCACCCACACCTATTTCACTGGGAAGCTCACCAGAAAAGAAGAGTAAACAACTAAATTCTCAGTCACATGCTAAATTCCCAGTCTCATCTCAGACTCCACCTCCTGCAGTTGTTTCTTTGTAGGTGCTGATCTACTTCACATCCAAACGTGCCCTGGCTGCAGCCCCAGTGGCTGCCTTCTGGATCCTGCCTCCCCTTGAGTTTCTGTGCTGGCGCAGTCCTGGTCACGGAGCTGCCACTGTCCTCTGGTCCGTGGCTGTAGCTCACGCGCTGATTTCCCCAGACAAAGCTCTACCACTGCCCCCTCGCCCAGGGAAGTTTATTCTCTGCAGTTGCTCCTGCTGCTGCCTGACTTGTGCTTTGTGCTTATCCTTCACTCTCCTGCTTCAAACACCCAGCTGCTCCGCTCCCTATGACCTCCTCGGTGCTCCCTGGCCTTGCAGAAAGTCCGGGCTCTTTTTGCCTCTTTAGAGCAGCTTGTTGGAGATAAGGTGAATTTCACAGTGCCATCAGAAAGGTAGAAAAAAGAAGCAGAATTGAAGTCAGTCAAGGCTATATTAAAAGTCTGCAGTGGGAAAAATGATGTACTACTACGCTGCTGAAGTCTATGCTAAGCAGAGTAACCCAACAACGCAAATAGCCTATCTTTCACCATCCTTTTTTGTCAGGGGAATCACAAACTAAAATCCAACTATCTAACACTTCTCTTCCTGCATGTCAATGATTTCTTTAACTTTTAGGAAAGGCAGTTTTGGATACAATTAGTTTAAAATTTCTGGTGATACAGATTTTTAAAAAAGTGTTCCTGCTGCTGGGGTGCTGCCACCTTTTCTATAAAGAGGAAAGATCTTCAGAACATCTTGGAAAACAGGAGTTCCAACATCTACTACAGAGAGATTTAAAAGGTGGTACAGCCAGATAGATGCATATAAAAGTACAGCTAAAAATATACAGGTATGGCAAAATATTCTTTAAATTATAGAAGGGGTCAGAAAATAGAAGATGACAGTGTGATCAATCCTGCACAGAAGGGTGGTCAGAAAAAAAAAATTATTTACTAAGTGAAAAAAACATACACAGAAGATCTAAGGTCTGCATGTTTGGGCATCAAACACTACCTTGTAAAATAACCTTTGCTGTTGCCTCCTATAAGCTTCATTCCATTAAAAGTTGCGGTAAAACCAAACACTGTATAGATGCACTGTGTTTGCAATCTGTTTTCAAACACTTACCCGTGGCAACTCATGGTACCAGCTGAAGACATCTATGCCAATAAGTGAGAACACCCGAGCCAGCGGTGGCAGAATTTGTTTGGTAATATAGTAGGTAGCATTCAGCCGCAGGTTGGGATCCTGCAGGACCTCAATGGGCCGCCTCACCAGCTGTATCAGGGGCAGTCCGGGCATGCCGTACACAATGACGTAGGGCACTCGCTCCCCAACTCGTGGTTCAGAGCGACGGTCGTAGGCAAGCATTCTCCTGTTTAAAAACAGCCTTTATAATGCATCCAGAGACAAATTCATAGTTCTTTCATTTGCTTGTAAACTTCCCCATCTGATTATATTAGCAGCTCTCCAGACTACTGAAGTTAGTGTCTACTATGAAGCACAGGACCAAGTTGTTCCATTTATAATTTGTCTCATGATCAGACTCAATTTTTAGAACTTGGAACATGAGCCCTAAAGATATGTTCTGTTTCAGGTCACTTGGGTGTGCATACAGATTGCCTTCTAGCTATCCTGTCCTTAATGAAATATTTTACTAAAGAGCAGCCAGGCTACTAAAAAGAGCTCAAGTACCCAGAAAGCAAAGGACAATTCAATTTGAAGCAGGTATCAATTGAAGACTTGAATTTTATTTTATTTCAAAAGCATGGCCTAATTTGAAGACCTTTTCTATTAAGCGAGGTGGCAATATGTGCCATATTATCTGTTACTGATCAACAACATCAACAGGATGAAATATTAAATAAAGTACTTTGCAAAAAATGAAAAATCATGACTGGTAATGTATTTCACAGCACTGAAAGACATCACTATTACAATTTTTAACATATCTAATATCCGTGAGTAGATGGGCAATCCTGGATAGTCAAGCCCTTGTATAAAACCAAAAGCTTAAGTAACAGCACTGAACGTATCGTATCATTACAGTGACCTGACAAAGAGACTTTACTCTTGCTCATGTGTGGCTCTTTCCAGGACTACAAAGTGGCTTTCTAAGACTTTTTGCTGCCTGATCTCTCTTCACATGCAGAAGACAGAGCCAAATGCTGCAATAATATCTGAAGGTGACATCTTACTGCTACCCATAACTTGGCAGTACAAAGGTCAAGAGAAAAAATATCTATGATTAGCAGTTCTTAATTTCATTACCTGGTGATTTCCAGGGCTGGTACACAGGACCCAGGTCTGTAAGCCGAGCTCCCTCTGTACTCTTTTGCAAAGATGAAGTCTTGCATGCTGGCTTTTCCTTCCAGTAACTTCATGCATTGATTCTGAACGTACTGTTTGATCTGACTTATGTCCCGTGTTTCAAATAGCAGCTTGATAGAACACTCAAGTATCTTTACAATCAAAGGAGAAAGGTGAGAAAAACACGTATGTTTAACTAAAAATTAATTCCAAATAATTCAGTAAATTATATGGAAATATTAATACACTGCTTAGAAAGTAAACTAGAATGTTACTATGCCAACAGGTTACATTCTCTTCCACTCAAAGACATTCATAAACACATTACTGGACAACTTTTTCCTCAATTTGACACATCTTTCATGACATTATCCATACTCTGGCACTAAGACTCTTTCAACAATTACAGAGGTTTTCCAGAGTATGAGAGATGCTTTTCCCCATAAACTATTTTGCCATTCTGAGCGCCTCAGCAAACAAAAGAATTTGGATTAAAAAGAAAAATGGAAGTAAATCCTCCTAAGTGGCTACCTGTCTTACTGGCATAAATTTGTTTTGACTTGATTAAGAACAAGAGCCTTTTCTTTTTAACCCCTGCAATACACAGCTTAAAGTAAACAGGTAAGGAAGTTTATTTTAAATTAATTCTTAGCTAAACTAAATTTATGAAAGTGAGGTATTTAGCAGGCACATCAGTGTGCCTCACTCATTTTGGACCCATACTTACTTCCAGTTAAAGTGACCTGGATCTAGAATGGCTTTGTAGAGAACTTACATGGGGCTGAGGGCTTTTTATGGGTTTTTTAGGGTCTGAAAGATAGTAGTTAAGATGGAAAGTACAAGTCCTTGTAAAGGCGTGCAAGATCTTCAATTTATCTTTCAATTACCTCATACAAAAACAGATGAAGTCTCAGGCAACTCACAAGGACTAGAAACTGAGAAAGGACAAATATACAATGAAATAACAAAATACTATAATTTCAGCTAGGAAGAAATGCGCGAGTATTTTACCTTGGAAACAGCAGGACAGGAGTCCCTTCGGACTGTCTCTATGCCTTTTGCATCAAATACTGGGTCCTTCTGGTCCAGTGTTTCATACATGTAACCCACGTACCTCTTCTTAGTTTGCAGGACACATGGCAAGTAAACCTGGAGTATTTAGAAAGAAGATAGCCCAATCTGCCATGTGTTGGGAAAATAAGGTGGCTTTGAACACAGAGGGTTTCCCAAGGAATACTTTGCTTTGTTGTTTGCTTTTGTGGTTTTATTTTTTATTTTTAAATTTTTAAATAATTAAAACTAATAAACAAGATCAGAGGACTGATAAAGGATGGCTAAGGAAGCTGGGATTCAGTGGTGTTCCCTTCTTAAATCACTTTGCATTTCATCTAGCTGTAAAGGCTGAGCAACCTGAAGCTCAGAAGAAAAGTGACACACAGTGTATTTGGTTTCAAGTACCCTTACTTTTCTGCATTGAATCTGTCAGCATTTTTAATGTAACTGTATTATCTCTTCATTCTTAAAAAGACAACAACTTCATCTGAAACATCAGAGAAGAAAACTCCCAACAAAAGTAGTGGCTTTGAACTTTCTATTTTCAAACTTCATCTCATTATGAGGTGCCTAAAATCAGTTAGTATCTTGATTTGGGGAAAGCATGCTTTTTAAATGCCTGGCGAATGGTTCCCATGGTTCCCTCATGAATGGCTATTAGAGACCTGGTCCCTTTTGCTTGTATTCTCCAACCTCTCAATTCCTTCTTGATTGTGTCACTATTCCTTGACCAGTTATAAAAGAAAGAATGTGGGACAATTTCTCCCAGATAACACTACATCTTCGGGGCTCTCATGGAAGAGGGAGCAGTGAGTTTACATTTCCTCAGGCTGAAGAAGGTCCTGCACATAGTGTAGTGTTCACTTCTTGAACAGATGTTCCAGCTTTCAGATATTTGTCTCTTCCAGTGCTAGGAAACTACCCTAGGAGAGTACTCAATATTTTGACCCATGGATGAATAAGGGCACTTGAAGTGAAGCACTCAGACATCTTCTCAAGTATATCCTTGCACCTGGTATTTTTTTCTGGCTAATTACTCCTTCAGCTTAATGACAAAGAATTGCCTCAAAGTGGGAAGGGTCTCTGTATTAGTCAGTGAGGAAAAGCTGCCATGCCTTCGACAGTCATTCAGACTTTTCTTCCTAATATTTTTATACTGCATTTTCCATGAAAAATGGCAATTTGCTTACAAATTCTGATTGAACCTGTTGAGTCAGGTATCTAATTTGAAAATATCTAGAGCACTTGAACTGATTGCTAATGAATTTCCAATGATAAAATTCCACCAAAATTAGTATCACATTGCCTTGCTCTTCTATAAAAGGCTTATTTTCGTTAATAGTTCTTCAAAAAGCCTACTGAATGGATTTTTACGTTTTTCATTTTATATATGTATCACACGGACATATCCTGAAGTGTGCTAATGCTGGCTGAAGAATAAATACCAGGCTTGTAGTTAAGGCACTGGAATCACTTCAAGGGATGGTGTGCATTTTCTCTACCAAGTTGCAGATGTTGGCGTGATTATATTTACATAATAAAAACTGAGGGACACATTTCCAAAAACTGATGAGACAGGAATTTCAAATTGCCTGGTGCTGCTGCTCAACAGGCCACCAGGCATCCTGATGTGAAAGTAGGATTTCTTTTTGCTGTTCATGCTGCAGCGCTCCCTGTGACAAGGTCCCTGAGGCATTAAGGAGCTTGCAATATACCTGCAGAAGCAGTACAGCACACGATTGTTCGACTGTTATATATCCTTATGCTATGTCAGTGTCCAGAATATTTTTTTTTTTTTTAAGGATAACAATGTTTTCACCCAACACACTTGAAGCAAAATATTTTTCCTTTTACCTTTTCAAACTTCAGTTTAACAGGTTTGGGGTTTGTTGCTGTTACAGCTTCAGCAATTTCTTGACCAATCTTAAAAGACTGCTCCTTTGTGGCTCCTTTTAAGAGTACAAACATGCTACAAGAAATCAGACATAGGAAATAAGCACACATATATTCAACATAGTTCCTGAAACTTACAAGCTATAGTTTCCCGGTGGCAAGGCAGGGATGTTGTTATCAACTCTGTTCCTTTCCTTCATCTAGAAAGGCCAAAAACCTGAGAAACTTCAGTGTTCAGTATGAAATCAGGAGTGCCAAAGGCATGACAAATGCTGTGACTTTCTGGTGAGGCAGGCTCCCAGGAACTGCAAAACTTGAGTTTCCAGGACAGAACTGTAAAGAGCTCTGGATATGCCTTTTCTTTCTACTATGGGCAGCAACAGGATTTTACTTCCTTTCTCCAACAAAATTTTTTTTTTTTTGTCAAGCTACTATGAATTTAGTATCTCTGAAATTTCAAGTCTTTCATCAAATCTGTCTGAAATCAGTCATTGGATTCACAAGTTATTAAGGAAGGATGGCCAGACAAGCTTTGCTTCCCATGGTTGAAAAATTATCCACATCTAGCACCAGAGATATATACGCCTAAAGCACGGCTATTATTTAGATGAAAGATGACTGAGAAAGGGGAGATATTTGTATGATGTATTTCAGGAAGCCTAATCATATCTTTGTATGCTTTGGTGGCTGCTTCTGAACTGTATCCACTTCTGAATATTAAAATAATGCCTTCCTCTAAGTATCAACGTGCAACGCCTTACTATAAATATTGTATTTTTGAAAATAAAAATGGCACCAGAAACAGGCACAAAATACTAATTCGATAAGACTTCTATAATTCCCCTTTTTGAGACAAAAGAAAAGAATGCCTGTGAAGACCTACTATGATCTGAAAACATTCCAAGAAGCAGACCATTAATTACCTGTCAGTGTCACCATACACAACGTGAGCACCCCATTTTTTGGTATCATTCACCAGTTTTATAGCACGCTCCAATGTTTCTCTGGCTTTGTGGACAATACTATCCCCAACCTGCAAAGTTAAAGATAAATTGAATAACTTTAGTCTACAGCTAATCCCAATACTAGGTCTTGGTAAACTTACTCTAATTTCGCTTGATCTGTTTATGAAAATTACTATATTGAGACAATATATTTAATTTCATGGTTTAAATGCATATAATAAATAAAAAGGTTGCCTACATTACCCCAAAATAGCAACAACTAAAGGGAGAGCAATTAAATATTATTAAGAATTAAAATAAAAGAAAATTCAGTTTAAAGTTCTTTAGGCATTTGTAAGGAGCAAGACAAGATTGCTGAGGATAGTTTTCTCTAGTTTTTGGATTCTACTGTTTCCTCCTTTTATGAAAACTATGAAACAGCTACAATGTTTTATTTTATTTCTGCTATTAGAACTGTAATCTTATCTACCTTTTGAAAGAGTTCTACAGAAATGCCAACTCTAAATGCTCTTTTATGGGAAGAAGAAAAATAAGATTTTTCTTTTTTTAAAAGGATCTCAAGTTGCTGATTTTCAGTACTACAAATAAAAACCGCTTTCATTAAGCTATTTAGATTAACTATGTTTCAAATAATAATACTGTGTTATCTGCCTATACTTTATTGTCTTTTCTACAGTTTTTCTGCATTTTTATCTGCAACACTTACCTCAGTGCACGGCATTCTTCCAGAAAAACTAGCAGCAGTATAACCAAATGTAAAATTAGCTATATATTTAAGACCCAACTGACGAGCTTCAAGCATTCGAGTTATAGCCTTGTCGTGCTTATAAGCCTTCATTGACTGTTTCACCATTATCCTAGTCTTCAAGATTTCTTCTAGCATTCTTGGCAGTACACCCTTTCTTACTGAAGGCTGCCATAAAGGGAACAAAGAAAAAAATTATGTTAAAAAGCCCAACCTAACCAGTTAGGAGTAAAAGCAAAACCCAGAACTGTTGGATAATCACTGTTAAGAAGACAAATTAATTAGCAAGATGCCCTAGGCACCAATGGTTTGGCTCTTTCCACAATTACAAGCAACCTAGAATACTGGCAAAGTTCTTAAGGGCAGGGTAAATATATTTTTGTTCTTTGTTTTCGTCAGCCCTGCTAATGCAATGTTTAGATAACCTTATTAACTGAAATAGGACTTCACTGAACTGTTAATTCTCAAAATGTTAAACGCTAAAAGAATATTATATTTTTAAAATTCTGCAAGTATTCTTTAATTAAAATTTTTGTTTCACATTACATACATGTATGCTGATGATTGGCTAATTATTTGTAAGAACTCCAGGCCATATCTATTAATTCATTACAAATCAGCCAGCAGTACAAAAAAAACCCCATAAAATGAGAACAATAGAAAGCAACTCAGGGAGTTTCATCTCCCAAACCATGACACTTTTTCTAGGAAAGCATTCTGCTAAACAGGCAGGAGATAATTACTGTTTGATCCCCAAATTGCATAAGAAAAACACAGTTTAATTAGAGATGAAATGAGCCTTCTGTATAAATGAAAGCATAAAGATGATGTTTTATTTCCTGAACTGCCAAAAGTTCAGCACTCTGACAAATATCAAAAAAACACTGGGAAATGAGAGACTGAACCTCCCTGCTTCTGTCTGCTCTTAGTGCAGCAAAATATAAACTAGAATATCAATTTGATCTTAAGCTAGTCAGCCAACAGGAGGTGAAAATGCCTGTCGCAGAGCACTAGTATCATTACCTTGACAAAAGCTACTCCACTGGGGGACACTGTGATATCATGCCTAATCTGGTAAAGTAAGTCAGGAGGTACGCTGAGAGATGTACAGCCAAATTTGAATGCATCATATCTAATAAAGAGAAAAATTAAATATGAAGACAATTCATTCATTTACAGTCCAATCAAGCAAAAGCATCAATTTGTATTAAAATGCTGATAATGCCAGCTAGGACAGAACCACAACTACCTGGTCTAGTGGAGGGTGTCCCTGGGCATGGCAGGGGGGTTGGAACTCGATCTTTAAGGACCTTTCCAACCCAAACAATTCTATGATTCTATAACTATAATCTCAGGTTTAAACAAACATAACATCATTAAAAATTTCTTAGCTATGTGCAAAAGGCCCTAGGAGTAAAGTAGTAAAAAATGTCTAAATTCCACCACGTGTAATTTATCAATTGTGTTCTGTGTAATGCATTATTTTCAAATGCTGAGTTAGTGGAGGAATGTACTCATACCGTAATCCCCTATTGGAAACCACAGAGGTTTACAAAGTAACACATTGCATGTATTTTCTTCCTACAAATTCATAATTTAAAATCAGAAGCTTAAACCTGATGGTGACAACTAGCAATCATCGCATGTATCTTCCCATTCTTCCAAATATTGTTTTATAGAGGTAATTATAATGAGCAATGAGATCTTTTTTTCCAATTAACAGAATTACTGTTAAGCTCAACAAGAGATGCTACCCAGAATAACTCATTGTCTCTTTTCGTTCTGAATAGTTAAGACCAGAGTGAATTACAACTGTTAAAAGAGAACAACAACAATTTATTAACATACAGCAGAATAATACTAGTCCAGTTTTGAAAACAGGTAGTGGATTTATATAACATTTTAATTTATTATGAAGCAATATTAAAAAGTAGCATCACCACAATAATGGAACAGGTGTACACATATGCACATATAGAGTTAATTTTTTTTAACAGAACAGAGCCTAATTGTGTATTTAATTAAAAATACATATTGATGTGTATATGTGTGTGTCTGTGTGTGCATACACATACACCCCCATCCACATGGTAGACCTTTATCACCTCTATTGTGTATCAGAAATGGTGCTATTCATACATTCCCATTGCTTCCAATGACAACCAAGGCTTCTCAGTACCTTAGAAAAGATGCTACGGAATCAAAGTTTGTGCGAAAAGAGTTACAACTTACTTTCCTAAGTTTTCAACATATCCCAGGCAGGTTGAAAAACAGTAGTTGTATGCTATCACAATGGAAGGGTATAATGACTGGAAATCTAATACAAGAACAGCATTGCTGTAGAAGCGTGATTCTGGCTCCATTATTAAGGGAACACATTGTGGGGCCTTCATTTGAGCTCGCTGCTGGATACTGGGTGTCACAGGAATATAATTCATTGGCTTTGCAATACGCAGCATCACGGACTCCACACGATACTGCAAAACAGTTTGGATATAATAATTATAATTTAAAAAATGCAGAACAAACATGAGTGCATTAAACTGAATAAATACACAATTGTATTGCCTGAATTTAAAGTACAGACAACTAGTTTTCTACAGCCATACTCTTTACTTTTAATGTATACATCACATATAGTGGATATAGTGATATGCTTCCTCATCATTTAGCCCTAATCATTGAAAATAAACTACTTCTAATTTTTATCTACGGAAAAAATAAACATCCAACAGGCTGCAACAATATATACAGATGGCCATGTAAAAGTCAGCAAACGAGCATTTGCTAAACTGTGTTTTTGTTAGACTTGCAGAACATTGAAGAAAACAAAGTATAGTACACAGTGGATAACCATTTTCCATAGGAATCTGCACAGCAATTTTATTTCAACATTTGGGAAAACAGAAATGACACGTGATTGTATAAGTTGATAATTGTGCCTCTATTTACGTGAGACATAATTGGAATGAACTTGGCAGCAAGGGAACCAAGGGAAGAATCTAAGTCAGCCCATTTCCAAAGTCCACTGCTTTGCACTGGGTATTACACTTTCTCCGTGATGATGCCACAAGTAGTATAGGAAGCATAAAGTAACAAAAAGTTTAAGAATTTTCACCTTGCTCAAGACATACGTCACATGTGGAGGCAGCAACAGGAGAAAAAAAAAGCCCTATTTATTTATTCAGTGCTTCAGTAAGGCTTTAAAAGCACTAATAGCCAGGTATTCACTGTGTCCACTCACAATAAAAACCAAAGTAGCTGAAAATTACATACATGGGTGGCAGAGGACTGAAAATTCCACAATATCAAAGAATGATCCTATATAATCCTAAAACCCTGTGCTTTGTAAGGAACTAAATCACTATCCAAAAGCTCTCTGCCTGATGCACTACATATACCTAACCTATACAGAACAATGATTGAATAATTTCTTTAACTTTGATGTTAAAAATGAACTTACAGAACTGGCAGCTTTAACAAGACCCTGCCACCTTACAAACGGGTTGGGGTTTGAAGGTGTAGTTTTGCAGCAGCAGAAGCGGCTGCCACCTTGCACTAATTGCACAGTAATTTGTGTCCAGTGATGAGCTCGGATCTGTGATGAGGTGGTTAGGGACTGCATCTAGCAAGAGCTAGTTATTTTTTTCCTAGTTTTCACCAAGTTCTTCAATCACCTGACTAATAATCCATATGCCTATGAACATCTCCTGTTAGATTTGTTTAGTCTACTATGGAATATTCAAGATAGCTTAATAAAAGAAAAAAATCGCCTTTAAAAAAGGTCTTGTAAAACTTTATGAGACATACAAAAATACGGAAAAAAGAACTTAAAATATCTGAAATCTGTTCTTAGTACTAGACCATTTTAACATATTTTTCATCTAAGGCGAAAAGGAATATCTTCATAAAAGGCAGTGATAATTCTTACAAGTGAAAAAAAATTATTTGAGGTGACTGGGATTTGTTGCAACTGCCATTTTTTCTCATCTAGAAAGTTTCAATGGAAACAAAACATACGTGCACAGAAGGAAAGAGAAAAGAACAGTCAGGATAGAAAACGCAGCATGTTTCTGTTGCTTACTCCCACTCACAGCCATTTGAGAAAACGACAGGCAGAACAGTCTTTGCGTGCAGCAATCATGACAGTTTAATCATATCTGCATTGGCAGTATGCCAATCCCACCCTCCCTGTCCTTAACTGTGCATTTCTCTTCCCTTTCTCCAACAGCGGTACTTTTCTGATAACATGGTAACGCAGACCAGGGAGCTATACTGGCAAATATCTATTGAACGCTACCACAGTTCTGCCGCCAGTGCCAACCCCTCCTCCCCAAAACACAGAGCCAGTACCAGCAAGACTGACAAGAACTTGCACTGGGTCAAGAGATGACACAGGCAACTGCAGTCAAAGGAAAAAAGGTGGCAACATTTTTAAATTGGGTTGAATTGTTAAGAAACTGCAGCTTCAGACACTCCCATTTCTGTCTGGGGTAAAACAATGTTGGTCTGCTTAGAACATTAGTTTTTAAGCTGTCTTTTTGTCCACAGAAATTGGCAAAGTAATCAATCCTGGCCAGCTCAGCTAAATGTCTATTAAAACAGAAAGCAGAAAGACGGAAGGAAAGAATAATTATGGTAGGAAAGAAGACGACAACAGAAGAGCAGACACACATCAGTGAGAGTAGTTGTCTCTTGTATCAGATGCTGTTCAGGGCTCCCGTGAAGCCATGAAACAGTCTAGTCAGTCCAGTCACTCAGAACGTGGGCAAGGGAAGCCTTTGGTCTCAAAGAAAGAGCAATGCAAACCTCTCTGTCCTGCTCCCTTTCCCTCCGATGCCAGTATCAAAGTAACAGAACTACGCACACCTTGCATGACGCATGTATTTCATAAAGCCAGAGCCTTTCTCATCTTATCATCAAATCTAACCCACAGGTTTGCTTCACAGGAAATGTCACTTAGAACATATTTGATGCAGCTTTGTCTGCCCCGGAAGAAAATAATCTCATCTTTCTAAAAAATTCTATTTCTTAATGTTTTGAAACACATTCACTTTCAGACTTATCTAAGTCTGTAAAATACCAACTCAAAGGGAAAACTTAGTGCTCCCAAAGTCAGAAGAGACTCACTGGCATTATTACATTTGGGGCACTCTATTTTTAACAGCTATTTTTAATCTCTGAGACTAACCATTCAACACATTATTACTACTTTTAGAATTGCCTTTATGTTTCAATTTCATGTTATACAAAACAGTCTTCTGTGACCTTATGAAAATATATATACTGTCTAAAAGATACTGAAGAACGAAAACATTTTGTAAAGAATATTTTGCTTTTGTGAAGTTTAAGGAAAACTAAATCTTACCTGGGAGCCTCTTGTTAATACATGTAAGAACTGAATGCCAAAAAGTCTTGCCATTTCACTTGTTCTGTCAATCAAATCCAGTTTGTCTAACAGCTGGAGATTCCCACGGACCCGGCTAACATAATGATCAACCATTTTCCATCTGTGAAAGTGAACATCTCATTATAAATGATCAGGAGAGTGCTGCTCTTTCTACTAAGAAAAATGTATTTTTATGATAGCTATATATGATACTATATCCTGGTTTCCTTACTGCCCTAAGGGATTACTGAAACAGAAACTTGAGTTTCTCTTCATCTGTTTACATGTTTTTTTTAACCGCAAGGACTTTTGTGGAAACATCCTTCTGCAGTTGAACATAAATATATAATTTCAGCACTAAACCAAGTTTTTGCCTAGTTGAAAAATATTTAACTTCTACAGAAATTGTATGTATGTCATGAATGACGTTCAGATCAGTACTCATTTTTGTGAATTATTCATATCACACAATACCAAATCACTACAAGGAGAAGTGAAGGCCAGTGTGATGTGTCTCATATAAAGGTATTTTTAAGCAGCTATAGCTACTTTCTTAACACCTTACACACTGTCTTGAACTATTTTTAAGCCTAGCTTGGTTGACATGCACTGTGAAGTAAAACAGAAACCTGACAGTTCATTAATAGGTGTTCTGATGAATAGTATATACACAAAATGAAGACCTTACGGAACTTCAAAACAGTATATTGATTCAGATGTGTTGAAATGGTAACTGAAAATTTGTTTTGCTTTTGTATACTTTAAAAAGAAAAATACACGAAGATGAAATACTGGGGGTATAACTACGCAACAGAACATAGCAGAACAGCAGAGTAAATGAGCTCATGTTGCTGCATATAGACTGTTCTAGTACCTGAGCTAAACTGATTATTTCTTCCTGTTCTGACTTTAGTTTATACCTATCTATCCAATGTTAAGAATCTGGCCTTAAAAAGAAGAAACAAAATTAATTAATCGATCATTACCTGTAGACATCGGCCTTATTATCAAACCAATCAGACAGAACTCGGAAAGTAAATAAAGGAAAACGTTGATGAAGAACATGAAAGCCCACGTTTTCAAAAGTGTAATTCATTAGATTCACCTAGAAACACACAGAGGACGTGTTAACATGCACGATGTCTTTCATAGTCAAAGAAATCTCTACTTTTCAAAAACTGCAACAACTAAATTTATTAACTTTTTTACTAGTATTCATTGTTAAAAAGGTAAACATTTACACTCAGAAGTCCCTAACTATTTACAAGGAAAGAATATCCCTCTTTAATTGAGAAGAATATGTGGAACTAAGTAGATCACAAAAATCTGGTCTGAATTTGGTCAGAATAAGATTTGTAAAGACTGAACTATTTGAGTATTAAACATAAGGTCTTAAACAGTAAAACAATAAGTCTGACAGCTTAAAATAATTTAAAGGATTTAATTTAGTAAAAGCACCATACTAGACAAATTGCTAGAACAGGTAAGTTGTTCTCAAAACCCACAAAGAAGTGAAAAGGAATATCATTAAGAAACATTACTGAAAGATAAGGGCTTCAGTAATTTACACTTCAGCAATACACAAAATCCATTCTCACAAAGTGGCAGGCTGGTCTATTTGAAAAAGTGTACAAATATAGAACAAAAAATTACATAAATTACATGAAATTTTCAACAAAGTATACAATAATTAAAAAAATCAGTAAGTCAACATTATCCTTTTCAACACATTACCTCATTTCTCATCATTCTCCAAATATTCAAGGTAATTCGCCCAACTATATTTATTTCACTCATTGTATCTGATCCGTATTCATCCACCTCAGCCGCAAATCTGTTCTCTTTCTTTTCATCTACAAACATTAAAAGAGACTACATTTAGACAAATTATAGGACAGTCAAGACCAGATCAAGCCATCCCTCTTCCAATTTGAGCTCTCTAGAAAAGAATTCATAGACTGCTACTGATTGCACAAGATTATTTATTTACCAGTCTTTCACACAATCTCTAAATAAAACTCCCCCAGGTTTTTCTGCTTTTGCACATCCCTCTGAAGGTCTTACTTCCGTTCCGTTGAAGTGCTGTCCCATAGCGAATATATTGGTTAAGCAATGCTGAATGTTGAGAGCTGGCTGCATGCACCTTAGTGCACAACATATTTTTTTTTTTTTTTAAAAGTGATTTCTGCCCTAAAGAGTTTATATCTCAAGGCTTTACTTGTAATGATCTTACATAGTTGGAACCAGGTCATCAGAGAGAAAACTCAGCACCTTGCATACAGTAAAAGCAAACCCACCGCAGTGGGAGCAGGTAGACATGACTTCTGGATAGCACAAATGGAAAGAAGTAAGTAGGAAAGAAAAATGCAGAGGCACAAGTAGCACTCTGAATCTTTCTGTAAGACAGTGGTGACTACGGTACAGGAGAGATATCCTCTTTCCCCATCCTTGGTTTTTTTTATGCCATGAAATACTACAACACAAGAGAAGACAGGCTATTTGGTATAAGTTTCTTGAAACTTTTTTTTCAGTCAACCTAAGGTTACAGTTTTGGTATTCTTTGCTGAATTCTATATAGATGCTTTTTAAAATGTACAACACAGTTTAAAATTCAATATGAAAACACACTGTATCATTTGATCCTCCAGTCCAGTCCTGTTCCTTCGTATTAGTTTAACGGAAGAGAAAGCACTTTGTAGCAATTTTCCCACAATTCTAAATCATACCCATTTTTCAACTGTTGGTGGTGTACTCTGCCACTTCTCATTTATCAGATATCCCTGTACAGTACCCTACTAATAAAAAGCAGAACATTTTGGACAGAGTCTACTGAAGTGTGGATACACAACGCCTTGCAATAAACTGAGCAATTAGTTCCTCAGACAGCCATGAAGCACATTTACTATTGAAGGCAGAAGTAAAAATTGCTGAAATTCCGCAGAACTGCTGTGACACAACATAATACGGACTAACTTCCTATATCGAACTCTCAAATGTGTATCATATCATCAAAATATGATTAAGAAAACCTATTTCTCATTCACTGACCTTACCAATAAACCACAGCACCTGGACAAAAATTTAGCAGACCTTTCATACACTTTATCAAAACCTTTTTAACCTCCTTATTGTTTCAGATTTTTAAGGAGGAAAAAAAATAGCAATTTCTCTTTTCATGTTTGGATGGAAAAAAAGCCCCACAAGCAGCAATGTTTTTTCTTCTGCTTTTCTTCATTTCCACATGCTGGACCTCCTGTGAAAGTGAGGAACTTACCATTTCCACACCCCCCCTCCCTCCCCAATTTTTTTTATTGGAAGCAGAAACTATAAGTCAATTTTGCTTTCTGCAGTGTCATCCTAGTTCTCTTTTGACTTGTTTAGGAGATTCCGTAGTTTCTTAAGTTCGCTTCCTGTCTTGCTGGTAAAGACAAGCAACTAAGTATACTGCGGTCACAAAAGAGACCCACTGCCTCGATGAACAAGAGTCTCTGCATGTAATAAGCACTGCAAAAATTACACAAATCTGTAGTACTCTGCAACTGGTGTGGGGAACATATCACCACGACCATGTGAATCTCTTCAGAAACGAAGCTGTTAAGAAGCAGAACTGGACATTCTTCCTGTCTTTCAAGAACATGAGGTGAAATAAAAAGAAGTCTCCTCTCATCCTCTTTTATCCACTCCCTAACTTTGAGCTGTGATGCAAAGGAGGAAACAGGAGGCCACAGTGCACAGACAAAAAATGCCACTATGCACAGGCACAGTACTCATTTCTCTTGTGGTGTGTCCTAATGACTTATGAATAGCTCACTTGTAAGTGGCAGAGGGAGCACCAGACTCAGCCAATAAAGCAAAATCAGAGAGAAATCCAGCTTTCTTTTTGTTAAGTTGGAACCACAGGAAAGGGAAGGAAAAGTACCTTCCATCTTTATTTCAACAGGAGGAAAGAGGAGGATGCTGCTTGAAGGAGCACTTCTGAGGCCAATTGTACAAGGTTCAATAAAGCCAAGTGCCAGGTCC